TTTTATTGGGACTGTCTCGGTGTTCTGGGATTGCGTTCTAACTGTATACGAAGAAATGACAAGGAAATTGTGCTTTGTAGACTTTTATAACTCCCTTGAGCTTTTATTATGCCTCTGATGCGGTCCAAACTAGTCTTAAAGACTCTTCAAGCACGCTCACTTGGATTCCTCGGTAATAGTAGAGAGCTCTCTTACTAATTGACGAGACAACCTTACAAAAGCTTTGTGATCCCCACTTAACACGCTGGTTCCGGGCACACGTTACTTATGTCTGCGAAGAAAAGTCCTTAAATTGATTACAAACTTATCCACTACCTCAGATGCTACTGGGAGTGCGACAGCTGGTCAACGCGGGGGATAATTCCTTGCGTTTCAGCCTGCGTGCATCCTTTTTTTAATACTATTCTATGTTTTCTATTTATATTTACATGTCCGTGCGTTGTCCGAGAGGTCGGACGAATTAATACTGATTTTTAGTAAAGGTTTGAAGTGGCTCGGTTGTGTGTGGCACAACTGAGCTGACTTCTTTTAAGTTTTCGTAGTGTTTTCTCTATTGTGGCGACGCGACACATCAGTATTGATGCGTACGCGGGAATCGCCGTAAACGGTTTTCACGATCGGTTCAGCCGAGACAAACGGTCCGCTTAGTGATTTTTCTCTCTATTATTAGATACTATGCCCGGGCCTCGGACTGCACGGCAAATCGTTCATAGTTTTTCTCTTTTGGCAGGCTTCGGAATATTTCACGAAGCTTAGTTTTCTTGGGTCAATGATGCCATGATTTGTGATGCACGTGATGTGTCTCTCCACATGACTTCTTGGATCATGCTTCGTAGCATGTGACCAAATGACTTCTCGCGTCAGGTACACGTCGAGTTTCTACGCTCGCGCGTTTATCTTTAGAATTAATATCTTTTAATCCATAATAAAGTGAGACCCTGGTTTGGTGTAAACTCCAACACCCTGTGCGGGGGTGTTTTTTACTCTAGAACACTCAGTAGCATACTATTTCATGGTAGTGTAGCCTTTTATTAGACTTCGAGTATATTGAGGTGATTCGGTCACGAACCGACCAC